TATATATATATATAATACAATACACCATAGAATTAATACAATTATTATTGTTTTTTTTCATATTAAGGTTATAAAATATTTAATTATTTTTATGATTGAAATGTATATATTTGAAGATTGAAAGTCTGGGTCTGTGTCAAGTATAAAACAATAAAATCTATAAATACAAACATTTGAGAAGTAACCATTTTAAAGGCATGCTAAAAACTTTCCTGAACATCTTTGATGTGACCTTCATGTAAAAAAAAAAGGGGGAAAAAGTTCAATTCTGTTAGGGACTATCTGCTTGACTTCCTGGGTGACTGTAAATCACTTTTTATGTTTTTCCTCAATGTTTTCTCTCAAGTGTCATTTTATCTGGTGTGCAGTGCAGTCTGTAATTATATCACTTTTTTCATTGCAACTTTTTCCTCAAATTGTGTAAAATGATTTGTAATTAACAATTCTCTACATTAGAAATATGTAGAGTGATATTTTTGCACTAGAAAACATTCTCTAATGCTGTCAGACCTTGCTTTTTTCCTAACTTATTTATAATTTTACTGTTTTTAGCGCTACAGTTTAACCATATAGATTGATTTGTGTGAGCTATCCTGTGAGATCAAACTGACTGCTGCTGTGTGGGAAGAAAACCAAAATCTCCCAGCATGAACTGCTGTAGTCTGTTTTATCAGCCATTTTATTAGGTTGTTCTGAGAGTCTGATAACATGCACAATGGAATCACATTGACATATCTGAGCCATGTAATCACATTTATTGTGTATAACTCACATCAATATGATTTGTTGCCATATGCGGCACATGTAGGCAGTGCTTTAATGTGATTGAGTAGCGACGGGGAGCAGCCTGAGGATCACAGCGAGTGACAGGTCACCGTGCGTGTTGTGTATTTCACTGACATGATTACAGTCTTCAGACTAACCTTGAGCTTGCTGGCCTTTGCGTGTTCATACGTGGGCTGGAAATGAAAAATTAATCCATTACTGCAGTAGAGCACTATGTCCGTGCTTTGATCCATCTGTCACTTATGACCCTGACTGTCAGTCACCTCTCTCTCATCCCCGTCCCACACCCGCCCACTAAGTACAGCTGGATCCCATCTACGCTTGCCATCTGTCTCTTTATGAGTCGTGCTGGACTTACTGGTGATGCGACTCTTTCTAAATATATTTAGAAGGAAGTGAGTGTTTTACTGCTATCAGAAAGTGATGTTTTTGGTCTGCTTTGATTTAATTCAGAACCATTTTCTGAAATACTTGACTTTGATTTCAGTCAGACACGTGAAATATTTGTGTATAATGACAAATAATTTTAGGAAAATATTTAATAATATAAAATAATAATTATATTATAGTAATAATTATAATAATAATCAAAATTATTATTATTATTATTATGGTTTATCAGTCATTATACAACAACATTAATAAATTACACAAAATTATTATTATTATTATTATAAAATATTAAAACATTTAATCATGTTTTAATACTAAAAGTGATTGTAGGCCTTAGAAAATATTTTGGTACAATGAGAGTTCATTTTAGAAAAATGTAATAATATATAATAACATTTAATAGTAATAGTTAATAATAATTATTATTATTATACAGTTTATCAAACATTATGCAACAACAATAACAAATAATGAATAAAAAAGCATTAGAAAATTATAATGAACAGTCTCAAAAATGGATATTTATTTAGAGATTTGCTGTAGATGTAGCAGTGCTGTATTAAAATACTAACTTTAAGTAAGTGTTAGATGATGTTAGATGTCGATTTGACAAACAACAACTTAAGCTTGAAAAACCATTGCTTTGTGTCATTAAATCACTTCACTCTGTGTGAAGGGCTCCATAGGGATCCATTGTTTCATTTTAACTTCTTGTTGTGGTGAAAATGTGCATTATGTGAGGGTATTACAATGCTCTTGCCTTCAGTTCAGCTGCCAGGATGGAGGAAGACATAACTCACGACATGTTCTGTGTGGGACTCCATCACAGCTATAAATATTCAATGTGGGTGCTTGCATTGTGCCAGTGCAGCTGTTTAACCATTCCTCTTTTGATTGTTAGCCACACATACTTGCTACTAAACGTAAGTCTGACACAATCTCTTACTCTGATTGGCCAGCGGGAGGGAATGGGCTCTGACTCTCGCTGCCATCCTTGTGATCTGATTAGTCATATCAGCCCAGGTCCTGATAAAGACAAAAAAAGTTTAACAAATCATATTTTTTGTTAGATCTATGTAAGGTGCTTTAGATCGATTGATTCATTGAAAATACAGAAGAATGATTCGTTCACAATATATCCTTATACATATTCTATGTAATCTTACTTTAAGGATCTTTTCAGTGTATCAACTGAGCTGGTTCACGGAATCGGTCTAAATAATTTGTTCATGAATTAGACAGATTCCCGATTCTCAAATTTAACAGGAATTCTCGAGTTAACGCCTCACACTAATGTAGGACTTGTATGGAGCTGTATGGACCACTGTTACAATACTTTTATGGTGCTTTTGTGTCCTTTTTGAAGCTTGGAACACCAATGACTGGTCAATTTGACATCTTTTGGCAAATTACAATTTCCATCTTTTGGATGAACTATCACTTCAAAGACTTGCTCTTCAACTTTGTTTTGGTCTCAACAGACGATTATGTTGCCTTCAATCTGTGTGCATTTGAATTTCCCTTTTTGAATCCAGTTCTAACAGATGCTTTTCTTTGTCTCTCTCCAGCGGAGCCTCTCCCTCTGATGGACCTGTGTCGACGTGCAGCGTGGGTGGCTCTGGGACGAGAGCGTCTACAGGAGATCGAGACATTGCCTTTGCCCCAGTCTCTGAAGAATTACCTCCAATACCAGTGAGAGCGTGGGTCCTCACAAAGAGACGCACACACGGACACCGAGAGGAAGCCTGAGGGGCTACTATAGCGCCACCATCAGGCCACAGTGGGAAAATGTTTACATTGTGGCTCACTGGTGGAATCTTAAATTAGTTTTTTGCTTTGTTTTGTTTTTCAGTTTTTATTTTCTTCTTTATGAGTTGTTTAAATTATTGATGGCTTTGGAAGAAGCTCAAGGGACAGTGTGACGCAGGGCTAGAGCGGCGGCTCAACAGACCTGCAGCGCCTCCAGGTGTGTGTCTCGCCCTGAAGAATACAACAGGAAGTGACGTTTCAGAAAGCACATTAACCTTGGGATGCCTTTGAAAGCCCACAGTTATAATCGTTCCTCTTTCCCTGGGTGTAAAGCCTGCAGAGCACAGTCATTGGACACAGGAGACCGAGGCCACCGCAGGTCGGGCTCAGCTGCCTCCCGAGTCAAAATCCACCACACGGGAGCCTCAGCGGAAGAAACAAGCCCTGGAAGGTGCCAAGCAGGTGACAGTACCTTCGCACAGGACCACCAGGGGACGGTTACATGACTGACAGCAAACATTTCCCATTTTTTCTGAGATGGATGTGTATTCCCGAGGACACAATCATACAGATTTCACTTCTTTTTGTTCTCTGTGGGCTTGAGTCACTTTTCTATCTGATTTTAATGTCAGTGTGAGATTTCAGTTGATGATGATGATGCTTTTATCAAGATGTTTGGCTATCATTTAATTTTATTTATCAGGTTCTAGTTCCTTTTTAATGAACTGAGGATGTGCGAGCGAGCACATAGATATCGAACATTATCATACACTCGTCACATATGGCTTTCTATTTTAAATTGGGATGCTGCTTTTATTATTAATAATATTATTATTATTCTGAACGCTGGTTTTTCCGAGGCACACAGTGGAATGTAAAGATCTTGCTAGCGTTAGCATATTTGAAATGTGAATAAAAGCCAAGTGAATGAGATTGATGTTGTTGACAGTTTGTTCAGAGACAGAATATGCCCAGATATCACAATGCTCTCAGTGAATAAGAATATGCGCGTTCTTGAGCACAGAAGGGCCTATTTAAATAACCTCGACTAATGTTCCACTGAGAGTTCCCTCATTTCCCACTTTTCTCTCTCTCCTGTCTGACTCCCACTCTATCACAGTCTGAGGCTGAAAAGTATTATCTAACCTAAATCTGTGAAGAATTGGATCACTCTTCTCACGCTCTGCTCAGGTTCGTGGGAGGTTTTTAAACAGTCACTAACCGCATGTTCTTTCAGTAATCCAGACCTCCCTGTTGTTCTTAATCATTCATGATATTTCATGAAAAATATTTAAATTTTATATAAATGCTGTTCTTTTGAACTTTCTATTCATCTAGGAATCCTGGAGGGGGGGTGTTGAAAGAATGTATCAACATTTCCATAAAAAATATTAAGCGGCACAACTCTTTTCGACAAAAGAAGTTTTCTTTGGTGTTTCTTGAGCACCAAATCAGAGTCAATTAGAATGATTTCTGAAGGATGTGTCACTGACGACTGGAGTAATGATGCTGAAAATTCAGCTTTAGAAACAAAATGATTTTTCATTTATTTGTTATTTTATAATTATTTTAACATTTCACAATATTAGTTTTTACTTTATTTTTGTCTAGTAAGCATCAGACTTCTTTCAAAGATTAGATATCTTTTAGAATATCTTATGAGTGCATTGCAGGATCTCTAGTGGGAGGTCCTAACAGTATTCCATCTATTATATGTAGCAGGTATAAATTTCTGTAACACAGAAAGAACTTTGGGTGAAGATTCTTTGAAGACTAACACACTAACATCACTGCTGAAGAACTTCTACACTACTACCTTCAAGAAATTCTTCTCCCCACTAGAATCTTGGTGAAGCTTTCTTGTTTTATGTATTGGAGTAATCTAATACATTTGCGAGCCACTCAGACAACTGCTCGGCCAAATACAGCAAAATCGAACACCCTCCAAAATACCTTCGTAATCCAACTCGGATCTAATCTTAAGTGCATACAAATGTTGGAAAGAAACTCCATACTGCCTTTGCACTTCCATTAAGGTCAACAAACTTTTAAGTGGCTTTTTTTAGATAATGGAGAATGCATTTACTGATCCTTTTCTTCAAATAGCGTGATAGGATGATTTGGATTAATCTTGCCCCATTTTAGTGTATCTAGACATGTTAAGACTGTCGTATTGGAAATCAATGTTAGATGGCAAAGACACTGTCCTTCGCGCCAGCAGAAAAAATTTACTTTTTTTTCTTGGCTTCTCTCTTTCACGTTTGGAATCAGTTCAAATGTAACTGAATAACACCGATCTGAGAGCACAGGTACAGAGATAGCGCCCCGATCAAAGCTTTAGGATGGCAAACTAGAGGCTGTGGTTTAAGGCAAGACATTGATCCTCCCTATCCTCTGTTTCCCGCCAATCTGGTCCACTAAAAAACATGTTTAACCAAAATGAACAGACTGTTCTGTGTGTTCCAGCCCTGAAGTGTCTGTTTTGGGTTCAAATGCTTATGAAACGGCTTGGGAATCACTGGTTGTTTATGTTTTATGTCCTTTATCATTAGCAGGCGATTGTTGGAATACTTGGAAATGGGTATTGTATTGACTTCCTCCCAGTGTGATTCTCAATTTGCTTTGTAGACATGGGCCAGTGGCTATTTCCTTAACTTGCTGGAGTGTAAATAGGAGGGCGAGAGCTCATCCACCACTGAGAGGCCTTGGGAGACGGGTGAAAAAAAAAAAGTGAGACTTCCATGATGTGCTTCCTTCCCTGTGGTTGTGCGACTGTTGTGTGTGTGAGAGAGAATGAGGGTATAAATAGGGAGCCGATGGCAGTGATGGTCTGGGGAAAAGATCTTTTTGTGTCCTAAACGACCTCAGCTTCCATATGCAGGTGCATCCTGGCCTGTGCTGGTCACAACATCACTGAGGGTACAAGAAAACAGTGTGGGCAAATTTGTTCTGCTGAGAAAACACTGGAGACGGCACACTTCCTGTTCATGTGCCATAACTCAGATTTCTATTAAAGGAGGAAGTCCAGGAGAACTGATTATTTCTTTAAGGGACAGCCTGGGTTAAAAGTTAATATGTAAAACATTGTTAATTAATTAACTGTAGTAGTGTACAATCAGACAAAGAAATGTTTATGTTTTCATGTATGCTTATTTATTAAATTCACTTTTACTAAAGGCTTTTTGGCTGAGCAAGCATGTTGATTTGGCGTCTGGCAGTCGTTGAGAGAGATGATGCTGTCTGGCTGTTCAGCTTAATGAAAAAAAATCAGTAGACAAAAGCTCCATAAAACAGTTTTGGAAGTTGTGAGGTTTGGGACCATACTGTTTGTCAGCCGCATCTGTGTTAAATTCAATATGGCGTCTAAACTGATTAAAGACTGATTAAGGTTTATTCCAATTAATGATTTTTTTCATAAACGCATGGAATGAGGAAAGTAAAGACCAAATGATCAATATGATTCATATTCAAAAATGTAAGCAAGTGCTGTTTTGTTAACGGTTTATATATCCACAGATCTAGTTTTGGTACTGTATTTATATATGCAGAATGTAAGTGCTAGTTAGCTGTTGGCTGCCGTCTTTGCGGTGTGTTCAAGTGCAACCTTTAGCCCAAACACAGTCGGCTTTCATCACTGCTAGTTCTTTGTTATCAGTTTGGTGTCACGGCCTTTAGGTTCATTCACAATTTTGGGAAAGCATGCTAACATGCTTAATGTCTTCTTTAACAGTGAAAGCACCAATTAAACAGTAACATCTGAAATTTCTCCTTCTAAACATTCACATAAATTATTTGCTAAATTCACCACTGAATGAAATGATTGCTTCTTCCTGAAAATGCTGCCATTTGCTTCATTTTGTATGGCTGTTTAAAACAAGAGGCAGCACACTTTTACCCCACTGTCTCCTACTTGAAGATACTTTCCTGTTTTGTATTGTAACAAATTACACATCACACATGTGCTGTTTGTGCATGTTTCATGCTACTGTAAGTAGGGACTAAAATGGCTATTCATCAAATACTGTTCAAAGTATTTGTTCAAAACTACTGTTCAAAAGTCTAGGTTCAATAATTTTTGTCTCTAATGCTTACCTTTCTAATATGCTGAATTCCAGTTATCAGTGTTGAAAACAGTTGTGCTGCTTAATCTTTTTTGTGGAAACCATGTTACATTTTTAATGATTCTTTGATAAATAGAAAATTCAAAAGAACAGCATTTATTTGAAATATTTCAGTAATTTTGAATTTTTTTACTGACTCCAAACTTTTGAGTTGTAGTTCATATAAACTCACATCTTGGTGTTACAGTAGTTGTAGTTGAGAAAGTGTCTTAACAATAGCCCTTATTTCATATAAATCCAAAACCATTGCTCTAAAAACCTATTAGCCTTCCCAGGTTGGCCTACAAACTAACATCATGACTAAACAGCTCTGTACTGTTATGCTAACATTGCAAAATCTGTTCGTCAGGGTAGTTACAGCGCCAGCTTTCTATTGGCTCAGGAGATATTGGGGATTTGGACTCAGCATGGCCCAATATTGAACAGGTGATTGTAAGGATTTGCTCTTCATATTGAAAATGAGTCTGTGTGGTTTTCTCTTCAGCTTTAGAGAAAAACACACAGGGAGTGTACAGAGAGATGAAACAGATTAGCGCGAGTCAACATGTTCTCTTCCTCCTTCACTCCCCTTCATTTTCTCTCCTCTCACGCTCGGTTTTCCGAGCCAGCCTATATAAATAGCATGTGATCCATCTATTATGTCTGTGCGTCTCCACTCTCCCTGGATCCTGTTTAGCTTCTCAGCTCTCCTTGAGAGCCCTGATGCAAAAGCAGCATTAAAGAGTTTTCTGGAAGTGCTAATATTCTTTAGTCTGACTTAATTTAGTGCTTCAAGACTTGGTCCAAGCCTAAAAATCATCACAAACTCGGGTCAACATGAGCCATGTAGGACTATTTTTTAGGGCCATGATATAGCCAGAGATTTTGATTTGTGCTTTGTTAAACCTATAAAACAGCAATAATAATAATATAACATTTGTTATTATATATATATATATATATATACATATATATACACATACATACATACAGTTTAAAGGGGTCATATGATGTTGCTAAAAATAACATTATTTTGTGTATTTGGTGTAATGAAATGTGTTTATGCAGTTTAAGGTTCAAAAAA